CGGGAGGAGGACGCACGCCCGACCTCCGGCTGCCGGGCGCTCTTCCCGGCCACCTGCTTCCGGCTTTGGTTCAGCGGCCGCGCTGGTGCTCCCACGGGCGGCCGCCGGGCCCGTGTGCGCCAGAGTGGGCTGTCCACACCCCGCATTGGCGCGGGGGGCTTCCTCCCGGGGACACAGATGCTGACCGACCCCGCACCGTCCGAGCTGGCCCTCTGGCCACGGTCCCGGCCCTCCTGCTCGGTGCTGCGTTCAGTGTGGGCGAGCCGGGGCCCCTCCTGCCGGCCAGAGCCGGCGGCCTGCGCTCCCCAGGGGGGTTCCCGTGGGGCGTGCGATGCGCCCCGCCCGCCGGCCGCCCTGGCCCCCGGAGCCGCAGAATCTGTGCCGTGGACCAGCGGTCACGGCTGCGCGTGCGCCGGTTGCTCTTCGCAGCTTCGCTAGTGGCTCGGCCAGTGGCCTCGTGCGTCCCTCCTGCTGCCTGCGGTGCCTCCCGGGGTGCGCCCCCAAAGCGGGCCACTGCGCCTCAGCCCGACGCCGCGAAGCCCCCTCCAGCCCGGTGAGCCCAGCCGCCCGCCCCAGTGCCCGCCGCTGGACCTGCGTGCCGGTCCCTCCCCTCACGAAGCCCCTGAGCTCCCGGGGCCTCGCTGGCGGCAGCGAGGGGCGACTTCTGCCTTTGCCTCTGACTCGCGCGCCCGCTCTCCCGCGGTCCCGACTTCTGCCTTTGCCTCTCTGACTCGCGCGCCCGCTCTCCCGCGGTCCCGCGCCCTCCCGCGCCCCTCTGCGGGACCTGAGTGAGGCGGGGTCACCCCCGCTGGCAGCTGGCAGAGCTGTGCTGCCTGGGGACGCCCGCTCCTCTGGCCGCGCCCCGTCCCCTGGCTGCTGTTCTCGGGGCGCCCCGGGACGCACCCACGGTCCGAGCTGATGGCCGCAGTCTCGGCCAGGCTGCCGTTCCTTATGGTCGACCCTAAGAGCTCTGTCCGTCGTGGGTAACGCCCTCTGCCGAGGTCCCCGCCCACCGCGGGACGTCCGCCCGCGTCCCTCCCCGCCGCGGGATGGGGCCACTGCTCCCCGTGGGCCGGCGCTCGCAGGTGGCCGAGCCCTTGCTGACCGTCGTCTCTGCCTGGAGGCGGCCGGTCCGCCTCCCCCGGCCCCGCTTCTGCCCGCCGGCCTCCCTCGGGAGAGGCCTTCGCTGTGCCCGAGACCCGCTCTTCGAGGCCGCCCGCGTCTCTGCATGTCCTCGACCCCGTCGGCTTCCTGCACCCGGCTCGCCCACGCTGACCGGCTTGGGGCCCCCGTTGAGCCGCGGCCCACGGCGCCCTCCTCCCTCCGGGCGCCACCGTGCCGGTCTGCCTGACCTGTGGCGCCGTCCCCACAGGCGGCCTGCCCAGCCCGTCCAGTGGACAGCGCCTGCCTGGGGAGCGGCCAGGGCTGGCCCTGGGCCCCTCCGGCTCACCGGGGAAGGCCGCGTGGCTGCCCCCACAAGGGGCTCGTCTTAAAGGCGGGCGTCGCCCGGCCTCGGCAGTTCTGGGGGCGGCGGGTCCAGTGGCCGCGGCTGCCCTGTGGTCTGGAGCGGACAGGCAGGAGCTGCGCCCCGCCCCACGCTGCACCCCACTTCCCGAGCCCCCGCGCCTGGGACGGAGTCTGCGTGTCGGGGCCCAAGCATGGAGAGCCAGTGTTCCTCCGCGGTAGAAAATGGCAAATAAAAAGTTTAATTTCCAAAACTGAGTTCACCACTTATAAATACACTAAAACATAGTCGATGCAAAATTGGGGTGAATAGATACAGTATTTCAACGAAACAACTTTTCTAAAAGGTCGTCAGAAACCAGCGACTTGCTTCACCGAAGTTCTGGGTTTGTTTGGAACGAGACGACCCCTCCGCCGGCGCGGAAGCAGGACCCGGGGAACCGCACGCCGGGGGCACACGAGGCCCGGGCGCCCGCCGACCCTCCCAGCGTCTCCTGCAGGGATCTCCGCAAAGCTGGGGGGCAGCGCAGGCC